CAGCGCAGGTGTGACAGCTCCCCAGCACCCACCACCCCTCACAGCGCAGGTGTGACAGCTCCCCAGCTCCCACCGCCCCTCACAGAGCGGGTGTGACACCTCCCCAGCTCCCACCACCCCTCACAGCGCAGGTGTGACAGCTCCCCAGCTCCCACCACCCCTCACAGCGCAGGTGTGACACCTCCCCAGCTCCCACCGCCCCTCACAGAGCGGGTGTGACAGCTAGCCAGCTCCCACCACCCCTCACAGCGCAGGTGGGACACCTCCTCAGCTCCCACCACCCCTCACAGCGCAGGTGTGACACCTCCCCAGCTCCCACCGCCCCTCACAGAGCGGGTGTGACAGCTCCCCAGCTCCCACCACCCCTCACAGCGCAGGTAGGACACCTCCCCAGCTCCCACCGCCCCTCATAGCGCAGGTGTGACACCTCCCCAGCTCCCACTGCCCCTCACAGAGCGGGTGTGACACCTCCCCAGCTCCCACCACCCCTCACAGCGCAGGTGGGACACCTCCACAGCTCACACCGCCCCTCACAGAGCAGGTGTGACAGCTCCCCAGCTCCCACCGCCCCTCACAGAGCGGGTGTGACACCTCCCCAGCTCCCACCACCCCTCACAGAGCGGGTGTGACAGCTCCCCAGCTCCCACCGCCCCTCACAGCGCCGGTGTGACACCTCCCCAGCTCCCACCGCCCCTCACAGAGCGGGTGTGACAGCTCCCCAGCTCCCACCGCCCCTCACAGAGCGGGTGTGACAGCTCCCCAGCTCCCACCGCCCCTCACAGCGCAGGTGTGACACCTCCCCAGCTCCCACCGCCCCTCACAGAGCGGGTGTGACAGCTCCCCAGCTCCCACCGCCCCTCACAGAGCGGGTGTGACACCTCCCCAGCTCCCACCGCCCCTCACAGAGCGGGTGTGACACCTCCCCAGCTCCCACCGCCCCTCACAGCGCCGGTGTGACAGCTCCCCAGCTCCCACCACCCCTCACAGAGCGGGTGTGACAGCTCCCCAGCTCCCACCGCCCCTCACAGAGCGGGTGTGACAGCTCCCCAGCTCCCACCACCCCTCACAGAGCGGGTGTGACACCTCCACAGCTCCCACCGCTCCTCACAGCGCAGGTGTGACACCTCCCCAGCTCCCACCGCCCCTCACAGAGCGGGTGTGACAGCTCCCCAGCTCCCACCACCCCTCACAGAGCGGGTGTGACAGCTCCCCAGCTCCCACCGCCCCTCACAGCGCAGGTGTGACACCTCCCCAGCTCCCACCGCCCCTCACAGAGCAGGTGTGACACCTCCCCAGCTCCCACCGCCCCTCACAGAGTGGGTGTGACAGCTCCCCAGCTCCCACCACCCCTCACAGAGCGGGTGTGACACCTCCACAGCTCCCACTGCCCCTCACAGCGCAGGTGTGACACCTCCCCAGCTCCCACCGCCCCTCACAGAGCGGGTGTGACAGCTCCCCAGCTCCCACCGCCCCTCACAGAGCGGGTGTGACAGCTCCCCAGCTCCCACCACCCCTCACAGAGCGGGTGTGACAGCTCCCCAGCTCCCACTGCCCATCACAGAGCAGGTGTGACAGCTCCCCAGCTCCCACCACCCCTCACAGAGCGGGTGTGACACCTCCATAGCTCCCACCTCCCCAGCTCCCACAGCCCATCACATGGTGGAAATAGTATGTAGAAGAGAAACATTAAAGAAAGTTTAATTTGGAGCTGAGAAGGTGGCTCAGTGGTAGAACACTTGTCTTGCATGCCTGAGGCCCTGGGTTTGATGCCTCAGCACCACATAAGCAAGAAAAAAAAAAGCTGGAAGTGGCGCTGTGGCTCAAGTGGTAGAGCGCTAGCCTTGAGCTGAAGAGCTGAGGGACAGTGCCCAGGCCCAGAGTTCAGGCCCCACAACAGGACCCCCCCCCCAAAAAGAAAGTTTAATTTTGAAAATTAAATAAATAAGAGCTTTAATTAGACAATTAAATTTTGTCATCTTTTGCACTTTTATTGTTATTATTTAGTAGTTGCACAAAGAGATTACCATCCCATAAGTCAGGAAGGGAGGGAAGGGAGGAGGGAGAGAGGGAAAGCAGGAGGGAGGGATGGAGGAGGGCCTCACACACGCGAAGGCACCGCATGTCTGGGCTGCGTGGAAGTGTCCTCCTTTCTACACAGTACACATTGGGTTTGAAGTAAAAAGTGCTACTGTGAAGCCAGGTGCTGAAGGCTCACACCTGTAACCCATGCTGCTCAGGAGACTGAGGTCTGAGGATCACAGTTCAAAGCCAGCTGGGCCAGGAAAGTCTACGATACTTCTATTTCCAATTAGCCACCAAAAGGCCAGAAATGGAGCTGTGGCTCAAGTGGTAGAGGGCCAGCCTTGAGCAATAAAGCTAAGGGACAGTGCCCAGGCCCTAATTTCAAGCCCCAGGATTGGTGTGTGCTTGCACTCATGCATGTGTGTGCGCACACACACACACACTCACACACACACACACATACACACACACATATCCCACACATCCCACCGTGAATGCAAACTTGCAAACCTGTTCCCCATGTGGGCTCCTGGGCGTCTCTGAGTGGACAGGCGTGTGAGCTATGCGGTGGTGACCACACCACAGGGGTGGGAAGGTCCTTCACTGAAGGACCCTGGGACCCGCGGCAGAGAGCCCCTCCTGAGCACCAACAGGATGGGCCTGGCCCTCCGGCAGGGAGGCCAGTGGGCCTCCGGACGCTCTAGGGCAGTCAGGATTTGAGGATGGAGGTAGGCATGGGCAGGTTGTTTTTTGCAGGTTCTCTTCTTTCTGATGATTTGCTCCTGGAGACATTTGCCCACTTTGCTGAGCTGCCCAGCTCTGGGGCCTGGCCCGTCTGTCCGGAAGCCCCGTGTGGCGCCTCCATGATGCACTGCTTGGAAGCGAGGGGCAGAGGCGGAGCAGCGCCACCCAGGAGGGGCTACTCTGAGGTCCCAGTCGGGGGGGGGGGCAGCCGGTGAAGGGGCACTGGCGGAGGACTGTGGTGGGGCTGTGGTCCCGAGGCACCCCTGCCAGGGACACGGGAGGCAGTGCCCCAGAGCAGGGCTGACCAAGGCCTGGACCACCGCCCAGGAAAGGCTCTGGTCCAGCCTGCTGCTCCCTGCCCTGACCCCACAGCCACACGTGGGTGCTGACCGGTTCCTGGGACAAGAGGGACATCTGATGGCCCACCGGACCCTCAGCACGGGATGGGCAGAAGCGCTGGGAGCCTCCGGGCTTGTAGGAAAGTTCTAGGCGGGGCAGCTGTGCTGGGGAGTCCCCGCCCATCCAGCTGGCAGCAGCCATCCATCCTGCAAGAGCACCGTGGGGTGTCTGGGGACGCAGCCCAGAGCGAGCGTGACAGATGGGACAGAGGGCTGCTGCGGCTGAGGGAACGCCACCGGCCAAGGGGGGCTGTGGCCCCCCCACAGCTCTGCTGCCTCCCACTGCCTTGGTGGAAGCTTCCAGAGAGTTTGTTGGAAGTGAAGAGGCCTCGGGGGTCCCAGGGGGGCCGCCCTCCACACTGTCCTGCCCTTCCTGTCCACCGTCCACTCTGCCTCTCAGTCTCTGCTTTGTTTCTGTTTCTCTTTGTGTGACTCTGTCTCCATCTCCACGTCTTTGTCTCCTGTCTCTGTCCCTGTGTCTGTCTGTATCCTTGAGGTTTTCTGTCTCTCTGTCTCCATCTTTCCCTGCAGCAGTTTTTTTTTTTTTTTATAGCCCCGTCTTCTGTCCACTCAGCTCCTCTGGGCGGCAGAGCCGATGCCCCCTCCGGACTCCACCCTCAGTGCGCCCGGGCTCAGAGGACGAAGGTCAGGCCCTGAACTTGCTCCTCCCGAAGATACCCCTCTCACCTGGCTGTGGAGTGAGGTCAAGCGAGCCCGGCCCAGGGTACAGGGCGCGGCCATCACTGGTGTTGACCGCTGATGAAATAAAGAGACATGGAGTCCCATAACAGGTCCAGATAACAGGTCCTATCAACCCAGGAAAGGCTGGGGATGGAGGCCTGGTGGGTAGCGCTGGAAGCTGACCAGGGCAGACTGGGAGAAGTACCGGGGAGGGGAGACCACCCTAGGGCTCAGGAAGCCAGGCGTGGGGTCTTGGGGCTCAGAGGACCTGAGGATAGGGAAGTCGTGAGAGAGGCCTGGGATTCTGGGCCAAAACCCAATGTAGAGACCCCACTCTCTCCCACCCCTGTCCTGCAGACCCCTCCTCAAACAAGCAGCCCCTCTGCTTCTGTGGGGGCTTAGCCCCCGGGGGAAGGCCCCTGCTGTCCCTCTCAGCGGTCAGCCCAGCAGGCTGATGGCTGGCCACGGTGATGCCAGCGTCCCTGTCTCCCCGTCTGGGCACACCCTGAGGTGCTCAGACCCCATCTCGTCACCCCGTCCACAGCTCCAGCATTCCCCGGCCCCTCCCAGCGCTCCCTGAGGGTCAGACCCTGCAGGGGCTCGATGCTGAGGCCCCCCCTGCTCTCGGCGGGGTGTTTAGAGCGCAGAGCTAGGGAGGGGGGCACTCAGGCCACACCGGTCCGGGTGGGGCGGACTGTGCTCAGCACACAGCTCGAGCGGGCTGGGGGGAGGGTGCTTCCCGATCTCCTGGAGGTGGGACTGAGCCCCATCCTTCGGGGCTCCAAGGTTCTGGGGAGCGGCAGCTTCCCGCTTGGCCAGTCAGCACCACCAGATACCATCAATCTGCTTGGATCCCTCCTTGGAGAGGGGCCAGGGCCTGACCCCCACGATCAATGGAGGGCACAGCCGTCGGGGCTCCCGTGGGGGGCTCAGCCTGTGTCTGCACGGGGGAGGGGCAGCCTGCTTGTGGAGGGGCCTCTGGCTGCAGCGGAGGCGGCTCCCTGGCCCCGGGCTGGGCGTCTCAGCAGATAAGGCATTAACAGTGCCGTGTGGACCGCCCTGAGGATCTGCTGACACCTCCTCTCAGCCCAGGTGCACAGGGTGAGGTGCCAAAGGTTCTCTATAAAGCGCTGGGGCTGCTGGTCACCACCACTTGCCTGCCAGCGCCGGTCCTGCCAGTGCCAGGCCTGTCGTGTGTGCCAGGCCTACCCGGAGACCACCATGGTGAAGCTGGTGTTGCCCAACCCGGGCCTGGACGACCGGGTCCCGTCCCTGGACCAGCTGGAGATCATCGAGCAGAAGGAGGCCAGCTCCCGGCCCAAGTGGGACAACAAAGCCCAGTACATGCTCACCTGCGTGGGCTTCTGTGTGGGGCTGGGCAATGTGTGGCGTTTCCCCTACCTGTGCCAGAGCCACGGAGGAGGTAGAGTCCTGGGGGCTGTGGCGGGGCCGGGCGGGCCAGGGGCGGACAACACCACAAAGAGCTCACAGCCCTCAGCCTCCTCCACGCCCCTGGGCACCCTGCTCCCCAAGGGGCCGGGCGGGGGGCAGACCCTCCGCTCCCGGGCTCTGCATTGGAGAGGGAGACGCACTGTGCCCAGCCAGCCGGCACAGGTGCTGTGGGGGGCTGAGGGTGGGGGGGCAGAGGAGCAGCTAGCGTCTCCAGGGGAGCCCTCCAGGGGGCCGGGGCTCAGGCTGGGCCCACCCTGTGGGTGAGCACCACATGACCCCCAAAGCAGAGGCTGGAGTGAGGCAGGTGGGCAGAGCCCCTGCTGCAAGCTCCCGGCCTGGCCCAGGACCAGCTGGCACCCAGGCCCTGAGAGCCCAGCCTCCACCCTCACCGGCTGGCCCGCCCGGGCCTGTGGAGCCGGCTCTGGGGAACGCGGCTTCACAATGGGCCCCTCCTCTTCTCCACAAAGGGCCCTGCTCTCCCGGGAGGCTGGGTCTGAGCCCCGCGCCTCTCCCAGGACCTACCTCTCAGGGGTCCAGGTATGCGCAGCTGCAAGGAAACGGGAGGGCAGGTGCAGCCCTGGCCAGAGGCTCTGCACACCAGGCCTGACTCCACAGAGCTGTGCCCCAGGACCTCTGGTCAGGGTCAGCCTGGACCCCTGGGTGGACTTCCATCACCACTTGGAACCCTGGAACCTGGGCGCACCTCTCTGCCGGGGGCCTCTGGGCCCAGAACAGGCTGGGCTGGGTGCCGGGTGTGCCCAGGGGTGGAGTCGCGTGGGCTCCAAGAATTCTCCTTGTAAGTGACTTTCTCTCTGACTCAGGGAGCTCTCTGAAGAGGGCCTGTCCCACACAGGCCTTCCCATGTTAAAGTCCTGGAGCAAGGCTCTCACCTTCATGTCATCTGGCCCTTTGTTGGGGAGCTGTGCTGGCTGGCTGCTGTGTCTCTGGTCCAGCCAGCACTGCCCACCAGGGACAGTGGGGCCCTGGGACCAAGGGTCAGGATCACAGCAGGCCAGGGCACTGACAATCTCTAGGTGCCGCTGCCCAACTCCCCTGAGCAGAGCTGGGTTGAGGCTTCAGCAGGCCCAGCTGGCTGCCGCAGCCCGTGCCCTGGGATAGGAGGGGAAGCAGGCCCCGGGCCCCCCTGCGGTCAGGATCCCTGTGGGAAGCCACACTGGAGCCTGACGGGTGAGATGCAGGTGAGGGCCGGGGGCTGCGCCCTGCCACCAGCACAGAGACCCAGCCTCCCCCTGGAGGGCTGTCTGCAGGATTCGGGCCCAGGTGGAAACCTCCCGGGCTCCCCTGGGAACTCGGCATTGCCTGTCTCCCCCCAGCGCCCTCTGCCTGACATCCAGGCCAGACACTGTAAGGTCCATCCATGGGGTCAGGCCCAAATGACTGACCCTGCATCTGGAGCCTGCCCAGCCCCTTCCCTGCCCACCCCGTGAGGGCCCCCTGCCCTTGCAGGGCGTTCCTCCATAGGCAGAGCTGAGAGAAGAAGTTGTCAGGACGGGCAGACATGAGCAGGCCCTCCTCGTCCCTGCGCTGCCCATCCACCTCCTGGGGGATGCGGGGCCACCTCCTGGGCATACCTCACGGCTCACTTCGTCCCCCATCAACAGTGGTCACAGGTAGCCAAGGACCTGGCTGTCCTTGCGAGAGGACAGCCTCTGGTCACTGGGCTCTGGGCTGGACAGCTGCCCTGTGAGTAGAGCCCAGACCTTCAGCAGCAGCGGAACGGGCCCCGGGCTGCCTCTCCCGCTCAGGGGTGGTCTGTGCTCCTCTCACGATTTCACTCCGGCCCACATTTCAAGGTGAACTTATTCGGGGCTGTGGACCGGCATGGAAGGCTGCTGTTGAGGCTTCTCTACACATTTGGCCTCCAGACAGCTCGGTGGATCTGGGGAACCGGGTCTCCCCAGGCCCTGGGGGCCGCTAGGCAGTGGCAGGTGCGGGCAGGGGCCGGGCGGCATCTAGGGAGGCAGAACACCAGGGCTACACCCCTGCCCTCCCTCCTGTAGGCCGACCAAGCCCACGCTGCCCGGCCTCCGGGCCATGTGGATCAGGGCATCTGGGAGGCACAGGCGGGCGGCCTGAGCTCCTGGCGGGGGGAGGGGGGGGGCAAGGGGAGGACCTGCTTCTCTCCTGGAGCTTGGACTGCACTCTCAGCTGTGCAAATTTCACTCCCCATCACTAGCCTCAGCCTCTGCAGTGAGCGTGTCCAGGTGAACGGCTCTAGGGCCCTTCCCAAGGTCAGAGCCTGGATGTGAAGCAGCCCAGGGTCAGGGCCACCTCAAGAGGACCACTTACCTGGGCCTGGGGTCATCACCTGGGAGCGGGGTCCAGCCAGGGCCTGAGAACAGGAAGTGCTCGCAGCTCCCGCCTCCCGGGACGCCCCCTCTTCTCCTCTCTCCTCCCTCCTCCTCTCTCCCTCTCCCTCCTTCTGCACTCCTCCCTCCTCTCCTCCTCTTCCCTCTGCCCTCCTCCTCTTTCCTTCTGCTCCCTTCCCACTCCGTGCCCCTTCCCCTTCCCTCCTCTTTTTCACCCCCTTCTCTCCTCCCTCCCCCGTCCTCCTCTCCCTCTGTTGCTTCCCAGAGCGCTGGTGCCCAGAGCACTTCCTGTTGCCCCACACTTGGTGACCCATGCCCTGATCTCTGAGTCTGTGTGAAGAGCAGATGCCAACAGCTCCAGGGAGCACGCAAAGGCCCGTCTCTAAGGACCTTTGGCTGTCTGTGATGCCCCATCTGGCAGAAATGCTGGCTTCCCCAGGCTGGAGGAGCAGCGACTCTGACAGGAAGCCCCTGGCCCGGGGCCTGGTTCTAATGGACACTTGGCACTGTGTCTGGGGACACAGGTGCCGGAGACCTCTGGTCTCCCCCACGGTCCTGAGCTGGGGATGTCCGCCAGGCCGCGGGGCCCAAGGGCGTCTGTGGAAGGAGCGCGCCTCTCTGCCTCTGTCTGCTTGTCCTTCTGCCTCTGTCTGCTTGTCCCTCTGCTTGTCCGCTCTGCTTGCCCCTTGCTCTCCTTATTTGGTTATCCTTGTCTGCCTCTCCTCGTCAGTTTGTCCTTCCTGTGTCTCTCGTCTCTTTCTCTGTCTCTCTGTCTCACCTTGTCTCCGTCCACCCGTCTGTCCTACCAGGCAGGGCCCTGGCTGTGCCCAGCAGCTGAAGCCACTCTTGGGCAGACACTGGATTCCGGCCCACGCTTAGGGGACACCAAGATGGTAATGAGGCAGGGACTGCGGGCCCCGCCATCCGGGGTCACAGCTGCCCCACTCGGAGCCCACCAGGGCTCCAGGACAGAGCTGCAGGTCAGTAGCAGGTGGCTCCTGGGAACCAAGGAAGCCCGGACCCTAGGCTGGGCCTGGATTTCTCACCACTTCCGCCATCAGCTCCCTTCCCACAGGCGGTGGGTGGATGCCACCATGCCAGTTTGCCAGCTGACCCGAAGGATGGCCAACCCCATGCTGGGATGTGTCTAGCCGTCCCCTGCACTGGGGCAGAACGTGGCACAGCCCCGTGGGGCCCCGTGGGGTCCCAGCTACGTGGGGACAGTGGTGACGTTGGAGGTGGAGGTATGGCTCACATGGCTGACGCCAGCCTTGGATGGCTTCTGAGAAGAGCCCTTCGAGGAGGGACCCGGGCCATCTCCAAAAGAGGGGGAGACAACAGGGAGACCAGGCTGTCTAACGGCGAACGTCATCAGGACTGAGGAGGTCGCCAGCGTGAACAGGTGAACACGACAGGAGAATTAAGCTGTTAGAGGCCGCAACTGCTAGCACAGCTCAAATACAGGACACGTGTGCCGGGCGCCCGCGGCAGAAGCCTGGAACCCTAGCTACTCAGGAGGCTGAGATCTGAGGATTGCAGTTCAGACAGCCTGGGAAGGAAAGTCTGTGAGACTCTTCAATAAACCAAAAAACCAGTAGTGGCCGCTGTGGCTCAAGTGGTAGAGCACTATCCTTGAGCTGAAGAGCGGAGGGACAGCGCCCAGGCCCAGAGTTCAAGCTCCATGACCACAGAAAAACAACAAACAAAAAAAGACACACGCAGCGTTGCCCAGGGAGCCGCTGAAGCCCAGGGCCCGGCTGCCTTCGGGCCATCTCAGCAGCAGAGAGGTCAGAGGATGCGGTGTCCAGTATCACCACAGTGTGGGGGCGAGAACTCTGCTCCTTGGCAGTCAGCACCTGGCAGGCAAGGACAGCAGCTGGGGCTCAGTGCCCCCCACCGCCCCAGGGCTCTGAGCAGCGAGGGTCTGGCATCAACTCAGCCCTGGGCCGGAGCCCCACGGCTGTCCACGTCACTGTCACTACGCCGCGCACATGGGCACTGCTACGCCTCTTGTTTAATGACCACACTCCCTAAGTCAACAGGCCATGTCAGCCATGAGTATGGGGACTGTCCAGTCCAGCAGATGGTGTCAGCTGTGTGCATGGGGACTGTCCAGTCCAGCAGGCTGTGGTCAGCCATGAGTATGAGGACTGTCCAGTCCAGCAGGCTGTCAGCCGTGTGCATGGGGACTGTCCAGTCCAGCAGGCTGTGGTCAGCTGTGTGCATGGGACTGTCCAGTCCAGCAAGCTGTGTCAGCTGTGTACATGGGGACTGTCCAGTCCAGCAGGCTGTGGTCAGCCATGAGTATGAGGACTATCCAGTCCAGCAGGCTGTGTCAGCTGTGTGCACGGGGACTGTCCAGTCCAGCAGGCTGTGGTCAGCTGTGTGCACGGGGACTGTCCAGTCCAGCAGGCTGTGGTCAGCCGTGTGCATGGGGACTGTCCAGTCCAGCAGGCTGTGGTCAGCCGTGTGCATGGGGACTGTCCAGTCCAGCAGGCTGTGTCAGCTGTGTGCATGGGGACTGTCCAGTCCAGCAGGCTGTGGTCAGCCGTGTGCATGGGGACTGTCCAGTCCAGCCGTGTGCATGGGGATTGTCCAGTACAGCAGATGGTGTCAGCTGTGTGCATGGGGACTGTCCCTCATTGTCAGTCTGTGTGCACGGGGACTGTCCAGTCCAGCAGGCTGTGTCAGCTGTGTGCATGGGGACTGTCCAGTCCAGCAGATGGTATCTGCTGTGTGCATGGGGACTGTCCAGTCCAGCAGGCTGTGTCAGCTGTGTGCATGGGGACTGTCCAGCAGGCTGTGGTCAGCTGTGTGCATGGAGACTGTCCAGTCCGGCAGGCTGTGGTCAGCTGTGTGCATGGAGACTGTCCAGTCCAGCAGGCTGTGGTCAGCCATGTGCATGGGGACTGTCCAGTCCAGCAGGCTATGTTATCTGTGTGCATGGGGACTGTCCAGTCCAGCAGGCTGTGTCAGCTGTGTGCATGGGGACTATCCAGTCCAGCAGGCTGTGTCAGCCATGTGCATGGGGACTGTCCAGTCCAGCAGGCTGTGGTCAGCCTGTGTAAATGGGGACTGTCCAGTCCAGCAGGCTGTGTCAGCTGTGTACATGGGGACTGTCCAGCAGGCTGTGGTCAGCTGTGTGCATGGGGACTGTCCAGTCCAGAAGGCTGTGTCAGCCTGTGTACATGGGGACTGTCCAGTCCAGCAGGCTGTGGTCAGCTGTGTGCATGGGGACTGTCCAGTGCAGCAGGCTGTGGTCAGCTGTGTGCATGGGGACTGTCCAGCAGGCTGTGTCAGCTGTGAGCATGGGGACTGTCCAGTCCAGCAGGCTGTGGTCAGCTGTGTGCATGGGGACTGTCCAGCAGGCTGTGTCAGCTGTGTGCATGGGGACTGTCCAGTCCAGCAGGCTGTGGTCAGCCTGTGTACATGGAGACTGTCCAGTCCAGCAGGCTGTGGTCAGCTGTGACATGGGGACTGTCCAGCAGGCTGTGGTCAGCCTGTGTACATGGGAACTGTCCAGCAGGCTGTGGTCAGCTGTGTGCATGGGGACTGTCCAGTCCAGCAGGCTGTGTCAGCCTGTGTACATGGGAACTGTCCAGTCCAGCAGGCTGTGGTCAGCTGTGTACATGGGAACTGTCCAGCAGGCTGTGGTCAGCTGTGTGCATGGGGACTGTCCAGTCCAGCAGGCTGTCGTCAGCTGTGTACATGAGGACTGTCCAGTCCAGCAGGCTGTGGTCAGCCGTGTGCATGGGGACTGTCCAGCAGGCTGTGGTCAGCTGTGTACATGGGGACTGTCCAGTCCAGCAGGCTGTGGTCAGCTGTGTACATGGGGACTGTCCAGCAGGCTGTGGTCAGCCTGTGTACATGGGGACTGTCCAGCAGGCTGTGTCAGCTGTGTACATGGGGACTGTCCAGTCCAGCAGGCTGTGTCAGCTGTGTGCATGGGAACTGTCCAGCAGGCTGTGGTCAGCTGTGTGCATGGGAACTGTCCAGTCCAGCAGGCTGTGGTCAGCCTGTGTGCATGGGGACTGTCCAGTCCAGCAGGCTGTGGTCAGCTGTGTGCATGGGGACTGTCCAGTCCAGCAGGCTGTGGTCAGCTGTGTACATGGGGACTGTCCAGCCCAGCAGGCTGTGGTCAGCTGTGTGCATGGGGACTGTCCAGCAGGCTGTGGTCATCTGTGTACATGGGGACTGTCCAGTCCAGCAGGCTGTGGTTAGCTGTGTGCATGGGGACTGTCCAGTCCAGCAGGCTGTGGTCAGCTGTGTGCATGGGGACTGTCCAGTCCAGCAGGCTGTGGTCAGCTGTGTGCATGGGGACTGTCCAGTCCACAGGCTGTGGTCAGCTGTGTGCATGGGGACTGTCCAGTCCAGCAGGTGGTGTCAGCCTGTGTGGCCATGTAGACTAGTCACCTACAAAGAAATCCTTCTAGAATGTGCAGCTTGCTCTGACCCCTCTACTGTGGCTTGCTGGTGCACCCCGGCTCCATCTCAGTCCAGCAGGAGTCTTGATGGCATTCTCGTTTGCACTTATGACAAATCCTGCACAGTCCCCGTGTACACCTGGCCCCTGGTGGCCTTCCACTCTGCATCATGATGCTTTTTCCCATGTCAGGGGCCTTCATGATCCCGTTCCTCATCCTGCTGGTCCTGGAGGGTGCGCCTCTGCTGTACATGGAGTTCGCCATTGGCCAGCGGCTGCGCAGGGGCAGTGTGGGCGTGTGGAGCTCCATAAATCCAGCCCTGAAAGGCATAGGTCTGTATCTGTATGCCTTCCCTGGGGCCCGCAGTCCACCTCGCAAGCCTTGCTTCTCCTCTGCTGGGCAGGAAAGACCCCCAGCTCTCTCCTGCCAGAGGACTTGGGCAATGCTTCCTTAGAATCTTGAGCATCTAGGTTGCAGTGTCCAGGCCAGGCCAATCCTGGCCACTAAGACCCAGCCAGAGCCGCAGAGGCCATCTGAAACCAAACAGCCTAGGGGTCCAGACACGGGGAAGAAAGGTGACCCCACCTGCCCAGCGCAGGCTCCAAATGTGTCCAAGGCCCAGAAGGGGGTGCTGCTGGCCGCTAACACAGCCTCCTCCACCACCCCACGTGCTCAGTGGGGAGGCCTCTGGCACTGACCCTGAACCTGAGGCTGATCACTCATTTACACACTAACCCAGGAGCGACTCCAGTGCAGCCTCTGAGACCTCAGAATGTGGTGGGTGGTGAAGGAACAGGGAGGGAAGGGCAGGGTCCACGGACAGAAAGGCATTCTGAGTCCAGGGGACATTGGTCCCTGGACGCCCGCAGGCCCTGCCACACAGCAAGCTTCCTTTCCTCCTTCCTCTCTCCTCCTTCTCTCTTCTCTCTCTTCCTTCTCTTCCTATCTCCCCTTTCTCTGTCTTCCATGGGCGTGCATGATGTGCACACATGCGTGCAACACATACGTGTGTGCACTCACACACACATGCATGCACACACACAGAGTTTTAGTTTTAACTTTCAGAAGAGCATGCACATGAAACCTCTTCACAATCCTGCTGGCTTGTCTCCAAACATGGAGGCCACCATTCACTGATCTGCCTCACAACCCTGCCCAGAAGGAGACCCACCCACTCGGCCCTGGTCTGGGGCTGGACACCTGTGTGCAGCCTGCAGACAAGCTCCTTGGAGATTTTTTGCAAGGGCCCTGTGGCCACCTTCATGGACACACCCGTGGGCTGCTGCATGTGCTACGGGTGAAGTGAGGACAGTGAGACCGGTACCCACTCCGTGTGGGCAGGTGATGCGCAGCGGCGTGACATCCCACAGCGCTCCAGCCTCCACCTAGGAGCCCCTTCCAGGATTCCAGCTCTTGTCTGGCATGGCATCAGCTCCAGTGGCTTCCCAGGGATGGGCTAACTGCTCACCCCGTGCACCCCGTGACGTCTCCCTCCTCCCGGCAGGAATCGCCTCCATGATCGTGTCCTTCGTGGTGGGCTTGTACTACAACACCATCATCGCGTACATCATGTGGTACTTCTTCAACTCCTTCCAGGAGCCTCTGCCCTGGAGCCAGTGCCCCCTCAACCTGAACCACACAGGTAAACCCAGTGCCAGCGGGCTCCGTCCTGAGCCACAAACACCTCCTGAACAGCTAGCTCCCTTCAGTTACCTCAGAGTCAGGTGGGTAGACCAGGCTGGTGGAAACCCTCAGATGCTGTGGAACATTTAAAACCTCCCCTGTGCAAAGAAAGAAAAACAAAACCAAAAGCCAAATCCATGGCTTCCACGACTCAGTGCCCAGTGGAGGAGCAGAGCCGCAGGGACCACGCAGGGGCTCCAGCTGGGCCTTGAGAAGTTTCTGGAGAATGCCACCCCTCTGCATCCTACAACATGATCATATCAGGACCTTCCGTCCAGCCCATCACACCATGTGCCCCGATCGGCACGCAGGGCCCCCCGCCTTGAGCCTCGGGTGACCTCCCACCCCGAGAGCACCCCCCAGAACCCCTCCCCATTCAGGAGGGCAGCAGGTGGCTGCCTGTGTCCGGGAGACCCGCCCCAGTTCACAGCCACGCGTGCAGCCGGGGGGGGAGGGAGGGGAAGAGGGGGAGAGGGGGGCCTTTCAAGCTGCCCCTGGTTGGACAGTCCAAGTGATGTGGGGTGCACGTGGACCCTCTACACACGCCAGGCCAGCAGGATGAACCCTGGGCGCCAGTGAGGCCTAGCCCAGCCCTCCTGGCTACACTCAGATACACACACCATGATTACGGCCAGTCTCTCTTAAACTGCACTGCATGCGTACACGTGTGTGCACATGTGCATACGTGTGTGCATGTGTGTCTGGGCAGCACATGGTATGCATGTGTGCTTCTGTACATGAGTCATGCATATGTGTGTGTGCCTGGCTGGCTGTGTACTCTGAGTGACTCAGGGCCTCTCTTGCTGACCTTTGCCTTGAACCGTGAAAAGGGTATATCCCCCACAGGCCGCGTGGATGAGTGCGCCCGGAGTTCCTCTGTGGACTACTTCTGGTACCGAGAGACCCTCAACATCTCCACCTCCATTGACGACTCGGGCTCCATCCAGTGGTGGATCCTGCTGAGCCTGACCTCTGCCTGGAGCGTGCTGTACGTGTGCATCATCCGCGGCATCGAGACCACAGGCAAGGTGAGAGCCGTGCCCGCGGCCGCTGGAGCTGCAGCACGCCTCAGTCTGGGGGCCTCTGCTGCCGCTGATCTGCCAGACAGCTCCGCGGAACACATGCTTCACACACACGCCCGAAGAGCTGGGTGCCACACTGACCTAGCCAACATCTCTCCGATTGAGAGAAGGCTCGTCAGAGTGCTCCCGGATCATCAGGAAAACCCAGGGAGAGACGAGCAGGGGCCAAGTGTCCACCCTGTGGACATTAAGTGTTCTCATCAGAGAAGGGCGATCAGGGGGTCCTGAGTGGCTGGCCCGTTTCTGCTCTGACCCACAGAGCCCTGCTCCCCCGCCCCCCATACCTGTGCAGTGACTCCTCCCTGCCTTGCTCCCCAGGCCGTGTACATCACCTCCACGCTGCCTTACGTGGTGCTGACCATCTTCCTCATCCGCGGCTTGACGCTGAAGGGGGCCACCAATGGCCTTGTCTTCCTCTTCACACCCAACGTGAGTCTCTGCTGCGCACCGCGGGGCTTCTGACCCTGTTTGGGGTCAGGGCCTCCCTTGCTCAGTGACCCCTTTGCCTCAAAATATGCCCCCAAGATACGCACCTGGCAAGCAGGTGGGTGCTGTCCAAACCAGCCATGGCTGGGGCCAGCTAGGCCTGTCCAGGGCACAGAAGACACATATGTGGGGGCGGGGGAGACTTCCAACTGGCTTGACCGTGTCTCTCTCTGTGGGGGCTACCTGCTTGGGAGGCTCACCAGGCTGGCCACTGGTGCTCACCAGGCGGGGCCTCTGATGCCCTCTGGGAGGCTCACCAGGCTGGCCACTGGTGCTCACCAGGCGGGGCCTCTGATGCCCTCTGGGAGGCTCACCAGGCTGGCCACTGGTGCTCACCAGGCGGGGCCTCTGATGCCCTCTGGGAGGCTCACCAGGCTGGCCACTGGTGCTCACCAGGCGGGGCCTCTGATGCCCTCTGGGAGGCTCACCAGGCTGGCCACTGGTGCTCACCAGGCGGGGCCTCTGATGCCCTCTGGGAGGCTCACCAGGCTGGCCACTGGTGCTCACCAGGCGGGGCCTCTGATGCCCTCTGGGAGGCTCACCAGGCTGGCCACTGGTGCTCACCAGGCGGGGCCTCTGATGCCCTCTGGGAGGCTCACCAGGCTGGCCACTGGTGCTCACCAGGCGGGGCCTCTGATGCCCTCTGGGAGGCTCACCAGGCTGGCCACTGGTGCTCACCAGGCGGGGCCTCTGATGCCCTCTGGGAGGCTCACCAGGCTGGCCACTGGTGCTCACCAGGCGGGGCCTCTGATGCCCTCTGGGAGGCTCACCAGGCTGGCCACTGGTGCTCACCAGGCGGGGGCTCTGATGCCCTCTGGGAGGCTCACCAGGCTGGCCACTGGTGCTCACCCGGCGGGGCCTCTGATGCCCTCTGGGAGGCTCACCAGGCTGGCCACTGGTGCTCACCCGGCGGGGCCTCTGATGCCCTCTGGGAGGCTCACCAGGCTGGCCACTGGTGCTCACCAGGCGGGGCCTCTGATGCCCTCTGGGAGGCTCACCAGGCTGGCCACTGGTGCTCACCAGGCGGGGCCTCTGATGCCCTCTGGGAGGCTCACCAGGCTGGCCACTGGTGCTCACCAGGCGGGGCCTCTGATGCCCTCTGGGAGGCTCACCAGGCTGGCCACTGGTGCTCACCAGGCGGGGCCTCTGATGCCCTCTGGGAGGCTCACCAGGCTGGCCACTGGTGCTCACCAGGCGGGGCCTCTGATGCCCTCTGAGAGGCTCACCAGGCTGGCCACTGGTGCTCACCAGGCGGGGCCTCTGATGCCCTCTGGGAGGCTCACCAGGCTGGCCACTGGTGCTCACCAGGCGGGGCCTCTGATGCCCTCTGGGAGGCTCACCAGGCTGGCCACTGGTGCTCACCAGGCGGGGCCTCTGATGCCCTCTGGGAGGCTCACCAGGCTGGCCACTGGTGCTCACCAGGCGGGGCCTCTGCTGCTGCCCCCTGGGTTCACGCCCCTCCGTGGTCCCCGCTGTCCCTCCGTCACAGCTGAGGTCTCTGTCTGGAACAGGTCACAGAACTGGCCAACCCCAACACCTGGCTGGACGCGGGCGCACAGGTCTTCTTTTCCTTCTCGTTGGCCTTTGGGGGCCTCATCTCCTTCTCCAGCTACAACTCTGTGCAGTGAGTAGGGTGAGAGGGTCTCTTCACTGCACCCCAAAAGGGGCTGAACCCCTTCCTGAACCCCCAGGGCCCTGCAGGGGGCTGCCAGCGGCTCCTGTCTTCATCCAAATGCATTCAGAGCACTTGCTCGGTGCCAGGCTAGGCACTGGGGTCCACCTTCTGGCTTGTGGTGGATCAGGTGATGCACTCGGCAGACCACTGCAGAAGGGGGGTAGCGCCCGGTGGACTGACCACACCTGTGCTGGGAGGGGCAGTTGTAAAGGCCTGGGCCAGCATGAAGAAGCCCAGGCTTTGGGGGCATGGCCGAGCGGCCTGGTCTGCAGTGGGAACAAGCAGAGGCGGGGTCCAGCTTCTGGGGGCCCAGGGCCTGTGGGATGGACTTTGAGTGGGACTGTGGGGTGACTTTGGGTGGCCTCAGGCTCCAGATGTCACCCGGCTGGGCTCAGGCTTCAAGGCCTCCCCAACCCATGGGGAAAGAACCGGAAGGTGTCCTGCAGGCAGAGCCCAAGCAGGATTGCAGGTGAATTTTGCTGTTGTTGCGGGAGCTGGGATTTGAACTCTTGATTTGATGCTTTTGCTCTTTGGCCGCCACTCTACAACCTTAGCCCTACCTCCCACCCCAAGGGTGACTCTTCATCACAGCTTTGCTCAGACAACTCATATGTCAATGGTTTTAGAACTCAGTGACCTTAGCACTGCACTCCAACTAGCCCCAACTGTCCTCAGGAGAAGCCCCCGGAGTCCCCACCCCACCCAGTGTCCTGAGAAGCCCCCCCCCCCCGAGTTCCCACCCCATCCAGTGTCCAGGGGAGAAGACCCCTGAGCCCCCACTCCCAGCTCCGAGTCCCCACAGCCCCCCTGAAAACCCATCCCCAGGTCCGAGGCCCCGCCCCTGAGTCCCCGCCCAGCCCCTGAGAACCCACTCCCAGCTCTGAGTCCCCACCCAGCCCCCCCTGAGAACCCACCCCCAGGTCTGTGGGCCCGCCCAGCCTGAGGCCCCGCCCCCAGGTCCGAGGCCCCACCCCCAGGTCCGAGGCCCCGCCCCTGAGTCCCCGCCCCCATGTCCGAGTCCCCACCCAGCCCCTGAGAACCCACCCCCAGGTCTGTGGCCCTGCCCAGCCTAAGGCCCCGCCCCAGGTCCGAGGCCCCGCCCCTGAGGCCCCGCCCCCGGTGTGCAGACGCAGAGGTGCCAGCATGTCCTCGGATGCGAGCATCCGCTTCCATCTCCGTGATTTGCCGTTTCCTGTGCACAGAATCATGCAGACCCGTGGGCTTTGCAGCTGGCCTCTCCCCAGACAGGCCTTGAGCTGAGGCGGAGGGGGCCACACCTCCCCACCCCAGGGCAGCAGGAAGGCGTGTGCTGTGCACTCCTGGGGCTGCTGTGATGTGGCTGGTCAGAAGCCCATGGGGCCTTAGCCCAGGGCAGACACCCCACAAGGTGGCTGGTCTGTCCTGCTGGAGGCCAGAACCTCGGAGGGTGGGCACTCTGTGCTCAGCCATGCCCACCTGCCAGGCTGACATGTTTAGCCAGAACATTCTGGACTTGTTTACCCCCTTTTATCCCAGAGAGGTGATCCACCTAGCCCCGGGGCCACTCAGCCCTGGGGACTGTGGGCTGAATTGCATCTAAGTATGGACATCCAGAGAAGCAAGCAAAACTCCATTGGTCAGAGAGACCTGGGAGGACTTGGCCTCTCTCCTTGAGCCCATGGGGCCTCTGAGCCTGGAGGTGAGGACCCAGGGCCCTTCCCTGGCCTGTACCACAAGACTGCCCAGGCCTTCGGAGCATCTCCAGCACCACAGGCAGTTGCTGGGGGAGGACACTGTCAGAAAGAGGAAGGCAACTCCACCAGCCGTGGGACTGAGGCTTGGACGTGGCCTTGGGGTGCTCGGAGCACCCTGGGCTCTGGGCTTGGCTCACTGCTGGGCTCCACTCAGAACCGCACCTGGGTGCAGTGGTGGGGCCGGGGCCGAAGAGTCCTCCCCTCGACACTGACCAGCGGTGACATCACCCCCTCACAGCAACAACTTCGAGAAGGACTCTGTGATCGTGTCCATCATCAATGGCTTCACATCTGTGTTTGCGGCCACCGTCATCTACTCAGTCATCGGATTCCGGGCCACAGAGCGCTTTGACGACTGCTTCAATGCGTGAGTCGGCCTCCCGGGGCCCGGGCCGGGCCACAGCGTGCCCCTGGTGAGGGCCAGGCTGCAGTGCGCCTCCCGGGGCCCCGGCGGGGCCGCAGCATGCCCCTGGTGAGGGCTGGCTGCAACGCGCCTCCCGGGACCCAGGCCGGGCCGGGCTGCAGCGTGCCCCTGGTGAGGGCCGGGCCACAGCGTGCCCCTGGTGAGGGCCGGGCTGCAGCGCACCTCCCAGGGCCCGGGCCGGGCCCGCAGCATGCCCATGGTGAGGTGGCCGCGGGCCCCACCTGCCTGGGCCAGCGTCTGCCCCTCTTGCCGCTTCCAGGAACATTCTGACCCTCATTAACGGGTTCGACCTGTCGGAGGGCAGTGTGACCCAGGAGAACTTCGAGTCCATGCAGCAGTGGTGCAACGCCACTAACCCTGCGGCCTACGCACAGCTCAGGTTTCAGACCTGTGACCTGAATTCCTTCCTCTCTGAGGTGGGTTCTGCGGGGCGGGCTCTGCGTGGCATGGGGCCCCATGCCGCGGGGGGATGGGATGCCCTTTGCCAGACCCCAAGAGTCACGGGCACCGGCTTTGAGAGGTCATGGCTCGGCCTCTGGAGGAGCTGGACAGTGTCTGCAGGAGGCCTGACTCACTACCCACCCACCTCTGACCCTCAGCCTTCCCCTCCCTGCCCCTTTCCCACCTCACGCCTGGCCCGACCAGTCCAGTACATCAAAAAGCAGAGATAAGTGCTGCGCAGCATGGCTCACGCCTGTCATCTTGGCCACTCAGGGGCTGAGATCTGAGGATCGCAATTTAAAGCCAGCCTGGCCAGGAAAGTCCATGAGGTTCTTATCTCCTATTAACCACCACAAAGCAGGAAGTAGAGTTGTGGCTCAAGTGGCAGAAAGCTAGCCCTGAGTGGCTCAAATGGTAGAAAACTAGCTCTGAGTACAAACGCTCAGGAACAGCATCCAATACCTGAGTTCAAGACCCGAGACCAGCACAAAAAAGAGAAAAGAAAAACCACGGATGGGTTACTGCGTGACTTTTAACTTCCTGAGCTTTCTCAGCCTCCAGAGGCCATGACCACCTCCATTGTTGCCTTAGAAATGAAGGCTCTGAGCCCAGCTCCGGCGATGGGAGCTCACGCGCTCTCACAGGGTATCGATGCCTTCTCGTGATGTGGGCTGGCCGCGGCTGCGTGCAACCTTAGCCTTCCCTTACTGGGGCCTCCACTGCCTTCAGGGGAGCATTTGGGGGCATGCATCTGGATGGCTTTCTCCAGGTCCCTCTGCACCCCTGAGCCACCTGCTGTGTGACCCACTGAGCTCCGTGGTGTGCTCAGAGCCCCCCTGTGGCCACAGCCACGTCCATTTCCAAAACACCGTGGGAACAGCTCACTGCTCATAAAACACAGTTTGGGCTCTGGCCCTAAAATACAAAACTTACTTATTTCACAAAACATCCCAAGTCCTCCCTCAGTGTAGGTTTGGTGGGGGGGTCTGTCAGGCGACCTCGCCCACCTCTGGTGATTGGCAGGCTGGCCTGGGAGGGGGTGGAGGGAGGAGACACCCAGGAACTGTGTGGCCCTCAGGGTGTGGAGGGCACGGGCCTGGCCTTCATCGTCTTCACGGAGGCCATCACCAAGATGCCCGTGGCGCCGCTGTGGTCGGTGCTCTTCTTCCTCATGCTCTTCTGCCTGGGCCTCTCGTCCATGTTCGGAAACATGGAGGGCGTGGTGGTGCCACTGCAGGACCTCAACATCGTTCCCAAAAAGTGGCCCAAAGAGCTAGTGACAGGTGCGTGTGGGGCGGGGGGCTGGGGGGAACTAGTGACAGGAGCGTGGGGGGTGGGGGGCTGGGGGAACTAGTGACAGGAGCGTGTGGGGCGGGGGGCTGGGGGAACTAGTGACAGGAGCGTGTGGGGTGGGGGGCTGGGGGGAACTAGTGACAGGAGCGTGTGGGGCGGGGGGCTGGGGGGAACTAGTGACAGGTGCGTGTGGGGCGGGGGGCTGGGGGGGAGGAGCTGCTGACAGGAGCGTGGGGGGCGGGGGGCTGGGGGAACTAGTGACAGGAGCGTGGGGGGTGGGGGGCTGGGGGAACTAGTGACAGGTGCGTGGGGGGTGGGGGGCTGGGGGGAGGAGCTGCTGACAGGTGCGTGTGGGGTGGGGGGCTGGGGGGAGAGAAGCTTCTGTTCTCAAGGTGGTGCGCTGTGTGGAATGATGCGTGTCCTCGTGGTGGTGTGTGGAGTGGCGTGTCCTCGTGGTGGTGTGTGGAATGGCGTGTCCTCGTGGTGGTGTGTGGAATGGCGTGTCCTCGTGGTGGTGTGTGGAATGGCGTGTTCTCGTGGTGGTGTGTGGAATGGTGCGTGTCCTCGTGGTGGTGTGTGGAATGACGTGTGTCCTCATGGTGGTGTGTAAAATGGCGTGTCCTCGTGGTGGTGTGAGGAATGGCGTGTCCTCGTGGTGGTGTGTGGAATCGCGTGTCCTCGTGGTGGTGTGTGGAATGGCGTGTTCTCGTGGTGGTGTGTGGAATGGTGCATGTCCTCGTGGTGGTGTGTGGAATGGTGCGTGTCCTCGTGGTGGTGTGTGGAATGGTGCGTGTCCTCGTGGTGGTGTGAGGAATGGCGTGTCCTCGTGGTGGTGTGTGGAATGGCGTGTCCTCGTGGTGGTGTGTGGAATGACGTGTCCTCGTGGTGGTGTGTGGAATGGCGTGTTCTCGTGGTGGTGTGTGGAATGACGCGTGTTCTCGTGGTGGTGTGTGGAATGGTGCGTGTCCTCGTGGTGGTGTGTGGAATGGCGTGTCCTCGTGGTGGTGTGTGGAATGGCGTGTCCTCGTGGTGGTGTGTGGAATGGCGTGTCCTTGTGGTGGTGTGTGGAATGACGCGTGTCCTCGTGGTGGTGTGTGGAATGGCGTGTTCTCGTGGTGGTGTGTGGAATCGCGTGTTCTCGTGGTGGTGTGTGGAATGGTGCGTGTTCTCGTGGTGGTGTGTGGAATGGCGTGTCCTCGTGGTGGTGTGAGGAATGGCGTGTCCTCGTGGTGGTGTGTGGAATGGCGTGTCCTCGTGGTGGTGTGTGGAATGGCGTGTCCTCGTGGTGGTGTGTGGAATGGTGTGTTCCCGTGGTGGTGTGTGGAATGGCGTGTGTTCTCGTGGTGGTGTGTGGAATGGCATGTTCTCGTGGTGGTGTGTGGAATGGTGCGTGTCCTCGTGGTGGTGTGTGGAATGGCGTGTCCTCGTGGTGGTGTGTGGAATGGCGTGTCCTCGTGGTGGTGTGTGGAATGGCGTGTGTTCTCGTGATGGTGTGTGGAATGGCGTGTCCTCGTGGTGGTGTGTGGAATGGCGTGTCCTCATGGTGGTGTGTGGAATGGCGTGTCCTCGTGGTGGTGTGTGGAATGGCGTGTTCTCGTGGTGGTGTGTGGAATGACGCATGTTCTCGTGGTGATGTGTGGAATGGTGTGTTCTCGTGGTGGTGTGTGGAATGGCGTGTCCTCGTGGTGGTGTGTGGAATGGCGTGTCCTCGTGGTGGTGTGTAAAATGGCGTGTCCTCGTGGTGGTGTGTGGAATGGCGTGTCCTCGTGGTGGTGTGTGGAATGGCGTGTCCTCGTGGTGGTGTGTGGAATGGCGTGTCCTCGTGGTGGTGTGTGGAATGGCGTGTCCTCGTGGTGGTGTGTGGAATGGCGTGTCCTCGTGGTGGTGTGTGGAATGGCGTGTCCTCGTGGTGGTGTGTGGAATGGTGTGTTCTCGTGGTGGTGTGTGGAATGGTGCGTGTCCTCGTGGTGGTGTGTGGAATGACGTGTGTCCTCATGGTGGTGTGTAAAATGGCGTGTCCTCGTGGTGGTGTGAGGAATGGCGTGTCCTCGTGGTGGTGTGTGGAATCGCGTGTCCTCGTGGTGGTGTGTGGAATGGCGTGTTCTCGTGGTGGTGTGTGGAATGGTGCATGTCCTCGTGGTGGTGTGTGGAATGGTGCGTGTCCTCGTGGTGGTGTGTGGAATGGTGCGTATCCTCGTGGTGGTGTGAGGAATGGCGTGTCCTCGTGGTGGTGTGTGGAATGGCGTGTCCTCGTGGTGGTGTGTGGAATGACGTGTCCTCGTGGTGGTGTGTGGAATGGCGTGTTCTCGTGGTGGTGTGTGGAATGACGCGTGTTCTCGTGGTGGTGTGTGGAATGGTGCGTGTCCTCGTGGTGGTGTGTGGAATGGCGTGTCCTCGTGGTGGTGTGTGGAATGGCGTGTCCTCGTGGTGGTGTGTGGAATGGCGTGTCCTTGTGGTGGTGTGTGGAATGACGCGTGTCCTCGTGGTGGTGTGTGGAATGGCGTGTTCTCGTGGTGGTGTGTGGAATCGCGTGTTCTCGTGGTGGTGTGTGGAATGGTGCGTGTCCTCGTGGTGGTGTGTGGAATGGCGTGTCCTCGTGGTGGTGTGAGGAATGGCGTGTCCTCGTGGTGGTGTGTGGAATGGCGTGTCCTCGTGGTGGTGTGTGGAATGGCGTGTCCTCGTGGTGGTGTGTGGAATGGTGTGTTCCCGTGGTGGTGTGTGGAATGGCGTGTGTTCTCATGGTGGTGTGTGGAATGGCGTGTTCTCGTGGTGGTGTGTGGAATGGTGCGTGTCCTCGTGGTGGTGTGTGGAATGGCGTGTCCTCGTGGTGGTGTGTGGAATGGCGTGTCCTCGTGGTGGTGTGTGGAATGGCGTGTTCTCGTGGTGGTGTGTGGAATGGCGTGTGTTCTCGTGGTGGTGTGTGGAATGGCGTGTCCTCGTGGTGGTGTGTGGAATGGCGTGTCCTCGTGGTGGTGTGTGGAATGGCGTGTCCTCGTGGTGGTGTGTGGAATGGCGTGTTCTCGTGGTGGTGTGTGGAATGACGCATGTTCTTGTGGTGATGTGTGGAATGGTGTGTTCTCGTGGTGGTGTGTGGAATGGCGTGTCCTCGTGGTGGTGTGTGGAATGGCGTGTCCTCGTGGTGGTGTGTGGAATGGCGTGTCCTCGTGGTGGTGTGTGGAATGGCGTGTCCTCGTGGTGGTGTGTGGAATGGCGTGTCCTCGTGGTGGTGTGTGGAATGGCGTGCTCTCGTGGTGGTGTGTGGAATGACGCATGTTCTCGTGGTGATGTGTGGAATGGTGTGTTCTCGTGGTGGTGTGTGGAATGGCGTGTCCTCGTGGTGGTGTGGAATGGCGTGTCCTCGTGGTGGTGTGTGGAATGGCGTGTCCTCGTGGTGGTGTGTGGAATGGCGTGTCCTCGTGGTGATGTGTGGAATGGCGTGTCCTCGTGGTGGTGTGTGGAATGGCGTGTCCTCGTGGTGGTGTGTGGAATGGCGTGTCCTCGTGGTGATGTGTGGAATGGTGTGTTCCCGTGGTGGTGTGTGGAATGGCGTGTGTTCTCGTGGTGGTGTGTGGAATGGCGTGTCCTCGTGGTGGTGTGAGGAATGGCGTGTCCTCGTGGTGGTGTGTGGAATCGCGTGTCCTCGTGGTGGTGTGTGGAATGGCATGTCCTCGTGGTGATGTGTGGAATGGTGTGTTCCCGTGGTGGTGTGTGGAATGGCGTGTGTTCTCGTGGTGGTGTGTGGAATGGCGTGTTCTCGTGGTGGTGTGTGGAATGGTGCGTGTCCTCGTGGTGGTGTGTGGAATGGCGTGTGTTCTCATGGTGTTGGTGCACTGTGGAGCAGGCCGAGCTCCCTTGTGATAGCTCTGTCCCCTCGGTGTCACAGGCCTCGTCTGCCTGGGGACGTACCTCATCGCCTTCATCTTCACGCTGAGGTCTGGCCAGTACTGGCTGTCTCTTCTGGACCAGTATGCCGCCTCCATCCCCTTACTCATCATCGCCTTCTCTGAGATGTTTTCTGTGGTCTACGTGTACGGCATGGACAGGTAGGAGGGGAGATGGCATGGTGGTTATGGTTCATCTTAGTCACAGAATTCCCGCTGAGGATGACCAGTCCAGTTCTGGACGTGGGGACAGAGAGCTGTGCCCCGCCTCAGGTCTCTGCCCATGCAGTACCACCTTCATGGAATGTGCTGGAACCGGCTCAGTTCTGACGCTTTCGTCAGTGAGACAGAGGCCAGGGTGTGGTGTCTTGGCTTGCCCTGAGCATCGCCTCAGTTTCCAATAGGAGCAATCCAACCTTCAGCCTGTAGATTCACGTGCTCTCAGACTTACCTGGACAGAGACAGGGATTAGCAGCTGAGGAGCCAAGGCCCAGAAACCCGGCTCATCCAATTAGAACACACAGCAGTCCCGATGAGCATACAGGCAGGCAGCCTCCGCTCACACCTGCTGCAAACCCTAGCTCCTTGCAGGGTGAGATGTGAGGACCACAGTTCAGGCCAGCCAGGGCAGGGGAGCCGCTCCCCACCCCCACCCAGTCACCAGAGGTGCCCCTCCCCCTCTGCTTGCAGGTTCAATGGTGACATCAAGTTCATGATCGGCCACAAGCCCAACCTCTTCTGGCAGGCCACCTGGAGGGTCATCAGCCCACTGATCATGCTGGTTATCTTCTTGTTCTTCTTCGTGATCGAGATCAACAAAAAGCTCTCCTACATCGTGTGGGACCCTGACTACGTGAGTGCCCTGTGGGGAGGGCCAGCGGGCTTCCTGGGGGAGAGGACGGGGGGAGGGGGGGACACGAGAGGGGGGGCCAGAGGTGGGGCTGGGAGGGCACAGGAAATAATCAGGGAGTGGGAAGGGAGGGAGGGCACCTGCGGGAGGGAGCAAAGCTTCAGGTCCCTGTTACTACATGAACCAGGAAGTGAGGCTGGGTTTCAGAGGTCCTTGTGTCTGTCTGCTCTCCGTGGGCGTCTCCCTGTCTGTCTGCTCACCGTGGGCGTCTCTGTGTCTGTCTGCTCACCGTGGGCGTCTCCCTGTCTGTCTGCTCACCGTGGGCGTCTCCCTGTCTGTCTGCTCACCGTGGGCGCCTCCCTGTCTGTCTGCTCACCGTGGGCGTCTCCCTGTCTGTCTGCTCTCCGTGGGCGTCTCCCTGTCTGTCTGCTCACCGTGGGCGTCTCCGTGTCTGTCTGCTCTCCGTGGGCGTCTCCCTGTCTGTCTGCTCACCGTGGGCGTCTCCCTGTCTGTCTGCTCACCGTGGGCGTCTCCCTGTCTGTCTGCTCACCGTGGGCGTCTCTGTGTCTGTCTGCTCACCGTGGGCGTCTCCCTGTCTGTCTACTCATGGAAGACAGCCTTCTCTGTGGCTCTCTCCACAGGAGGACTTCCCTAAGTCCCAGAGGATCACGTATCCGAACTGGGCCTACGCAGTCGTGGTCATTGTGGCTGGGGTGCCCTGCCTCCTCATCCCCTGCTTTGCCATCTACACACTCCTCAGAAACCGTTGCCAGAAGCCAGGAGACCAGCAGGGGCTGGTCAGCATGCCATCCACAGCCTCGGTGAACGGGGACCTGAAGTGCTGAGTGTCCCGGACCACAGCAGGCAGCAGGTGGTGTGGGTGGAACCAGCCAGAGCCTTGGCGGGGGGCGGGGCTGCCAAGCCTGAGTACACACGCGTGTTGTTGCAGTGCATGCTTACCATTTGCTTATGTGGAAGTTTTCACATTTGCATGTGTCTACGTGGTGCAGGTGGGTACCTGTGTATGTATGCACTGTGTATGTATTAGCATGCACTGTGTCTGTTCTGCATGTGTGTGTCTGTGTATACACACACATGTGTGTGCATAAGTATTTACAGGAGTGTGTCCAAATGTTTGAATACAGATATATATTTGCACCTGTGTCTTATCTGTCAGTGTGCATGAATGTGCACACATGTATGCTGCTGTGCATGCATGCACACGTGTACACATTTGGCACATAAATGTGTCCCTATGTTATGTGAATACCTATGCATGTGGTGTACATGCATGTGAGGGTATGTGTTGTGCATGTAAATGTATGTACACACACCCATTGGTGTGTTGTTGCTGACACATGCATGCTTACACATTGTACAGATGTATGGAAGTGTGCATATATGTTCGTGGCACACATGTATACCACTTGGACCTCAAGCCCTCTGCAGCTGCCCTCAATTGTGGGCGTGGTGGGCAGGGACTGTGACCTGAGGGCCAGGACCCTGCACCACCTTGAATACCATCCACAGAAGGCGGGAGGCTACATGGCTCTGAAAAGAGAGAGCCCACCTCCAGCCCTCCCCCCCCACCCTCGCTGCTCACCCCTGCACCTAGGGGCCCCTGCACTGGAGATCGGGGTCCTCTTGCTCCTCAGTAGGAAGTACATGAGGCCAGCGGACCAGCAAGGCTGAGAAGCCCTGGTGTCTGTCCCCCGGGTGAGGCTGACCGTGACAGCTCATGGGTGCGAATATGGACCTGCTTAATGATTGCTGTGTGTGGCTGCACAGATCGCTGAGCAGCTGAGCAGCTGAGCTTACCTAAAGGCAGGAGCCAACTTTGTGCTTCCCAGAGGACACGAACCCCGTGAATTTTTAGCCAGATGTTGGGAGAATAGAGTTACTGGGTAACTCAGCCTCCTCCACCAGTGCTGAGGATGCCCGTAAGTTCTGAGCACTTAACGGCTGTGCCGCCTGGCATTCCTGTCCCTTCCCTGTCCCCCCAAGGCAGGCCTCTGCCCTCCCACTGCCCTCCCCCTGCCCTCCCCCACCCTGGGCAAGTGGCTTCTGGATCTGATACCCTGTACCCTCCAAAGGTACAGAGTACCCGGGGCGTTGGCTCTTTCTGTGGAAAACAGGCCTTTAGGTTGACCTGGATTTTCTCAGAGGTCTCTTGGGCAAGTGGGATGGGGGGCTCTCAGCCACACTCAGGCTTCACCCCTCCCTCCACCACCTCTCCCTCCCTCCGCAGGCTTAGCTTACACTGTCAGACCCTCCAGAAACCAAGTCCTCACCCCTGCCCTCTCCTGTGACCACCAGCTGGTCACCTGCAAGATCTTACATGGATACACGCCCCACAGACCTGCCCAGGCCAGGAAACGTACAGGGAGGTGGGAGGGCCCATCTTCCCCCTCCACAAAGGGCTTTGGCCCACAAAATGCCGGTTGGTGTCCATGCAGGCATGCCTGGTCCCCAGGGGCCTGGTCCAGTGCGCTCCGGTCCCTGGAGGCCTCCTGGGTGTGCACACTGGAAAGCTCTGTGGACGCTCACCGTGGCCGTGCTGCAAGCCGGGCTCACCTCCCGGTGTCCCTGATCAGTGTGCTGTTTGCCAGCCTTGTGTCTCCGTACATGTCACAGTCATGTGGCTGTAACGCGTACCTGTCTAAATAAACACTCCCAGTTAACATCCTTGGCCCCAGCGTTATGTGGACGGAAGGATGGGCTGGGCCACGGCAGACCCCAGAGCCTGGAGGGCAGGTGCGGCTGGCCTCCACCTCCAGGCGAGGCTCTGGTTTGGGGAATGTCTCTGAGGAGGCCTCACGTCCATGGCCTGGACTCCCACCTTGGGGAACCTGGCAGTTTGGTGGCCAGATGAAGACCAGGATATGGCCAATGGCAGACGCCACACTTTCCTGCCACTGCAGGTGACAGGTGCGCCTTGGCCTCGTGCCATGCCAAGGCCAGCTGGGAGTTGGGGTGGATGGGGAGAACCAGGAAGGACAGGAGAATCCGTGAAGGCGCCGGTAACTGTGCCCAGTACTCTCCTCCCATGCCCAGTACTCTCCTTCTGTGCCCAGTACTCTCCTCCCATGCTCAGTACTCTCCTAACATGCTCAGTACTCTCCTCCCGTGCCCAGCAGTCTCCTTCTGTGCCCAGTACTCTCCTGCATGCCCAGTCCCCTCCCCCATACCCAGTCCCATGCCCAGTCCCCTCCCCTGTACCCAGTCCCCTCCTCCCGTGCCCAGTAGTCTCCTCACATACCCAGTACTCTCCTAATATGCCCAGTACTCTCCTAACATGCTCAGTACTCTCCTAACATGTTCAGTACTCTCCTCCCATGCCCAGTAGTCTCCTCCCATACCCAGTACTCTCCTAACATGCTCAGTACTCTTCTAACATGTTCAGTACTCTCCTCCCATGCCCAGTACTCTCCTCCCATACCCAGTACTCTCCTGTGCCCAGTACTCTCCTGCATGCCCAGTCCCCTCCCTCTATACCCAGTCCCCTCCTCCCATGTCTAGTACTCTCTTCCCATACCCAGTACTCTCCTCTCATGCCCAGTACTCTCCTAGCATGCTCAGTACTCTCCCCTATACCCAGTACTCTCCTAACATGCTCAGTACTCTCCCCCATGCCCAGTACTCTCCTAACATCCCAGTACCTCTTCCCATGCCCAGTACTCTCCTCTCATACCCAGTACTCTCCTAATATACCCAGTACTCTCCTAACATGCCCAGTACTCTCCTCCTGTGGCCAGTACTCTCCTCCTATGCCTAGTACTCTCCTCCAGTGCTTTGTACCCTCTTCCCATGCCCAGTACTCTCCTCCTGTGCCAAGTACCTCATGGGCAACTTTGCCTACCTCTTCTAGTCTCCAATCACTTTTCCCTCTTCCTTAAAAAGGCTCCTCTGCCTGGTGTGAGGTCATATACCTGTAACCCCAGCTATTCAGGAGGTTTAAGGTTTTGAACCTGTGACCCCAGAACTTTGGGAGGTGTGAGGTCATGCACCTGTGACCCCAGTTCTTCGGGAGGTGTGAGGTCATGTACCTGTGACCCCAGCTCTTCGGGAGGCGATGAAAGGAGGATCCAGGTTGAGCTCAACCTAAACAAAGACAGCACAAGATCTTATCTGAAACACAAACAAAAAATAGGAAAGAACTGGGGTATGGTTCGAGTGCTAGAGAGTTTATCTGAGCTTGAGTTCTTCCCCAGTTGGGGGTGGGGAGAGGAGGTGGAAGAAGAAGTAACAACCTGTCCAACCAGTCTGGAGGAAGGACTTACAGCCTGAGTACACACAGTCAGGAGGGAGGGAGGACTAACAGCCTGTGTACACACAGTCAGGAGGGAGGACTAACAGCCTGTGTACACACAGTCAGGAGGGAGGACTAACAGCCTGAGTACACACAGTCAGGAGGGAGGGAGGACTAACAGCCTGTGTACACACAGTCAGGAGGGAGGACTAACAGCCTGCGTACACACAGTCAGGAGGGAGGACTAACAGCCTGAGTACACACAGTCAGGAGGGAGGGAGGACTAACAGCCTGTGTACACACAGTCAGGAGGGAGGACTAACAGCCTGTGTACACACATTCAGGAGGGAGGGAGGACTAACAGCCTGTGTACACACAGTCAGGAGGGAGGACTAACAGCCTGTGTACACACAGTCAGGAGGGAGGGAGGACTAACAGCCTGTGTACACACAGTCAGGAGAGAGGACTAACAGCCTGTGTACACACAGTCAGGAGGGAGGGAGGACTAACAGCCTGTGTACACACAGTCAGGAGGGAGGACTAACAGCCTGTGTACACACAGTCAGGAGGGAGGACTAACAGCCTGTGTACACACAGTCAGGAGGGAGGACTAACAGCCTGAGTACACACAGTCAGGAGGGAGGGAGGACTAACAGCCTGTGTACACACAGTCAGGAGGGAGGGAGGACTAACAGCCTGTGTACACACAGTCAGGAGGGAGGGAGGACTAACAGCCTGCGTACACACAGTCAGGAGGGAGGACTAACAGCCTGTGTACACACAGTCAGGAGGGAGGACTAACAGCCTGAGTACACACAGTCAGGAGGGAGGGAGGACTAACAGCCTGTGTACACACAGTCAGGAGGGAGGGAGGACTAACAGCCTGTGTACACACAGTCAGGAGGGAGGGAGGACTAACAGCCTGAGTACACACAGTCAGGAGGGAGGACTAACAGCCTGTGTACACACAGTCAGGAGAGAGGACTAACAGCCTGTGCACACACAGTCAGGAGGGAGGACTAACAGCCTGAGTACACACAGTCAGGAGGGAGGACTAACAGCCTGTGTACACACAGTCAGGAGGGAGGACTAACAGCCTGTGTACACACAGTCAGGAGGGAGGGAGGACTAACAGCCTGTGTACACACAGTCAGGAGGGAGGGAGGACTAACAGCCTGTGTATACACAGTCAGGAGGGAGGGAGGACTAACAGCCTGAGTACACACAGTCAGGAGGGAGGACTAACAGCCTGTGTACACACAGTCAGGAGGGAGGACTAACAGCCTGTGTACACACAGTCAGGAGGGAGGGAGGACTAACAGCCTGTGTACACACAGTCAGGAGAGAGGACTAACAGTCTGTGTACACACAGTCAGGAGGGAGGACTAACAGCCTGCGTACACACAGTCAGGAGGGAGGACTAACAGCCTGTGCACACACAGTCAGGAGGGAGGACTAACAGCCTGTGTACACACAGTCGGGAGGGAGGACTAACAGCCTGTGTACACACAGTCAGGAGGGAGGACTAACAGCCTGTGTACACACAGTCGGGAGGGAGGACTAACAGCCTGTGTACACACAGTCAGGAGGGAGGGAGGACTAACAGCCTGTGTACACACAGTCAGGAGGGAGGACTAACAGCCTGTGTACACACAGTCAGGAGGGAGGGAGGACTAACAGCCTGTGTACACACAGTCAGGAGGGAGGGAGGACTAACAGCCTGTGTACACACAGTCAGGAGGGAGGGAGGACTAACAGGCTGTGTACACACAGTCAGGAGGGAGGGAGGACTAACAGCCTGTGTACACACAGTCAGGAGGGAGGGAGGACTAACAGCCTGTGTACACACAGTCAGGAGGGAGGACGAACAGCCTGCGTACACACAGTCAGGAGGGAGGGCTAACAGCCT